GGCCGCCTGCTGGTAGGAGATTACTTGCCATCAAGGCATGCGCAGTTCTAACGTGCTCGGTGAAGTCTTCGTGTGCAGCTGTGTTCCATGCTGAACATGGGCCAGACGGCAGGAGAAGCACGGGCGACGCACGTCAGTGTCGGCGAGTTTCTGGTGGACTGTTGTGTGTGTAGGGCTTTAGAGCCTCACGCTGTTTGTGGCTTCGGGGGCGAGTGGCCGGGAAGCTGTTCAAGAACGCCTGGCAGGCTGGCCTGCGGGTGGATTGCCACCATGTCTACAGGACAGGCGGGGAGCAGGGCGGACTGGCCATCTGTGATCTGGAAACCACGAACGCCGGTCGTCAACAGGGGCCGTTGCGGCCGGTCGGCCCTTTACATTTTTTGTTTACGTATTAATTTAAGTTGCGCTGGATGGCCGCAGAGGCGACAGTGGCTGCGCTAATCGTTGTTGGTTCTTATCTGGTGTTCAACCAAAAATATGGAAAGGTGGACGTTATCGTGGAGGACAGCGAATAAAGTGTTGCGCAATGCGCTGTTGCGCACTGGATTTACGTGGCATTTATGTAAACAAGAGTTTTTTGCTGTCGATTTTGGTGAGTCCAGTGTTGTTATTTACTCAGCCATGTAACACAAATTAAAATGCAGTGTTTAATGTTACTGTATGAGTTCCAATAGAAAATACAGTTGTAAACCTCTCTTTGTGTGTCTTTATTATGACGTAACGACTAGTCGACTAGTCGACTACTATTTTGAAAAACTAGTCGACTAGTAAATATTGGTAGTTGTGAAACCCCTAGTTGCAGTATATATATTTTTTACATTCCGCACTCATTTGGTGCAGTGTTACGTTGTTTTGTTTCTCCCGTTAATTTAACGGACAGATATAATTGCTGCTTGTTAAAATGTTGCAGTATATATATTTTTTACATTCCGCACTCATTTGGTGCAGTGTTACATCGTTCTGTAATCTGAAGGCTAACAGGCTACAAAAATAAAAATTGACCTGATGTAGAAACATCGTCTGTAAGTGTATTTTTTTGTTTGTTCCCTTACCTCTAACCCCCGTACTGAGCCGCCGGATCCATCCCCCCTCTGCGTTCCGGCACCTCCCACTTTACAAATTAAGCACTGCATGGGCCTCTTTAAGTTAGGTATGTAACTTAAAATAAGTCAATGTGGAGTCTTGGTTTAACACAGGACTCGAATAGCTCTCTTCTGAATGGAGTGAATGGACACCCGGATCAGTTGCTATGAGCGTCTTATTTTGACGTGGATGAGTTTATTTTGGGGTTGGTTTAAAGCCCAGTGCTGTCGTGACAAAGTGTGAGTATTTATTTACCGAGGAATGAGACCGGGCTGTGTTTGTCATGCATTCAAACTGCTAGCACTGCACCTCATTTATTTCTGGAATTGTTTTTCTTCTGTATACCCCTTTGAAGTTCCCTGAAATAATTATCAACTTTCACAAATTGTACATAAAAGCAGCTCTGCCTTTTTGATTACGGAGTGAGGAGCAAATCAAACAATTGGGGAGTATTATTTCTCCTACCTCAGCCATGCTTTCTAACGATCTTCTCTAATCCTTCCACAGCTTTGCAAAAATCCCCACTCCTTTGGGAGAGAGCAAGTTTGGAGGCTATTACCACTGAGTGAAAGTGGGGAAATGCATGTTTGGCTCCGCCGGGTGTTAATGTGGGGCGAATGGACTCCAGCAGAGGGGTGAAAACAGGGATGTTACTTCGGGTGATGGGTGTCAGCGGGCAAGATGAATAATGTAATGCTTCCAGGGTGTAATAGCAAGGGTATGAATCGAGGCGGTGACACTCCTGGGAAATGTTCTTCTTAATGGAGGACGAACTCACCACCGTCAGCCGCTGTTTCCAGAGTCCCAGCAGAAATGGAAATAAAGAAGGACAACAGGAAGCTAACAAAAACACCCCAGGATTTAGACCGTTTAAATCCTCTCTGGGAAAGAGAACCCACTGACGTTATAACCGTGCTGTATTTCAGTGTTGTCACAGCAGGTGTTGCCCATCAGCTGTCAGAGTCAAAAATATCTGCAGCTTTTCATTCAGTATGTTATCTTAAAACCTATGACCAGTCCGGTTTGAAACATGATGACTTCAGCGATGGTGGTATTATTTTGTCAGCTGTCACAAAGAAACTTGTCACCCGTCACTCCCCAGTCTATCAGACCACTTGCAGTCTCGTTAAATACGATACCAAGAAGAGCAAGTGTTTGGCTCATAACGAGGGGACTTTTTTTATATTTGGCACCGTCTGGCTAAGACTGTTATGATACTAAAAGGTCTTATTCGTTCTGACCAAAGTTTGGAAAATGGTCTAGTAATCATGCTTTACTTTACTTGGATCAGAACAGAAGATAACTGGGGCGACTTGAACTAAAGGAAGCAGACATGTAGAAGAAAGATAGCAGCTTGATTATCTACTAAACTAGAAACTTGATATGTGTTATGACTGCTGTTCAGTGTTTGCCCTTAGCCTTAATGTTTCCTGTGCTCTGAATTGTGAAATAACCTGCTGTTTGTTTTTGGTGTACAA